GCTTCGATATTTGAAATCAGTGTAATCTATCTGCCATTTTGGAAACTTTGAGGAAAATCAATAATGATAGTAATGGAAACAGAAAAGCATTTGATAAAATTTAATATCCATTCACAATAAAAATTCTCAGAAAAATAAGAATAAAGGGGAACTTAATTTGATAAAGAGCATCTACAAGGAAAACCCTCCAACTAACACTACACATAGTGATGTCTGCCCTCATTGCTCTTATTCAACATAGGGCTAGACATTCTAGCCAGTGCAATAAGGCAAAAAAAAAAAAAAAAAAAAGAAAAGACACAGAGATGATAAAAGAAAGAATAGAACTGTTTCTATTTACTGATATGATTGTTTACATAGAAGATACTAAAAAACATTGAGAAAAAGGAACTCCCAGTAGTACAAAAATCAATTGTTATTTTGGTATACTGGAATTAATTAAATCATACAGTATAATTTATAGTTGCTCAAAAAAAATGAAATGCTTACATATATGTTTAAAAATGTGTGGTGTGGTGATTTCTAGGGGGGTTTAAGGGGACTAAATGATAATGGGAAAAATATAGTAAAGATTAAATAATAAAATAAAATAAAAAAATGTGAAAACCACACAACACTGAAAACAATAAAAAGGATCTACACACGTGGAGAGATACACTGTGTTCATGGATGGAAGGGTCAACATAGTAAAGATGACAATTCTTCTCAAACTGACACACAGGTTTAATAATGTCTATAAATACTCTACCAAGCATTTTTTATAAGATTTTATTTATTTATCTTTAGAGGGTAAGGGGAGAGGGAGAGAAACATCAATGTGTGGTTGCCTTTCGTGCATCCCCTGCTGGGAAATGGCCTGCAGGGAACCTGCCTGCAACCCCGGTATGTACCCTGACTGGGAATCGAACCGCGATTATCTGGTTCGCAGGCCTGCGCTCAATCCACTGAGCTACACCAGCCAGGGCTCTACCAAGCATTTTTATAGGTGTACATATTAGTACTCTAAAATCGACATAAAAGACAAAGAACTATAACAGCTACAACAATCTGAAAAAGGATAAAATGGGTAAAGTTAAATACAAGGGTAAGTATGATTTTGTTTGGATCTCCACTTTTTTATTTTTACAGGATTTAAAAAACAAACGCATAAAAATAATTACATTATCTCTGTTATCGGGCACACAGTGCCTAAAGGTGACATTTGGGACATCAGTAACACCGAAGGGGATGGCACTGTAGAGGAACAGAGTTTTCACATGTGATTGGAGGAAATACCAATTCAAAACAGATAGTTGTGACTTTCGTCTGTTATACTGAAGCCCTATGCTAACAGAAAAAAAATTATAGAATGTATACAAAATATACACCCCACCAAAAAATTAGCTCAAAATGGACTAAAGACCTAAATGTAAGAGCTAAAACTATAAAACTCTCAGAAGAAAACACAGGGAAAGTTTTATGACATTGGATTTCATGGGGATTTTTTGAATATAATACCATATTAAAAAATATGATGACTTTGACTTAATAAAAATTTAAAACTTTTGAACATTAATCTCTATGAAGAGACTGAAAAGGCAACCCACAGGATGAGAGAAAATATTCGCGAGTTGTACATATGACAAAGAATTTACATCCAGAATGTATTACCAACTCCTACAACTCAACAACAGAAACAAGAACGAAACCAAGTGACCCAATTAAAAGACGGGCCAGTGTGTTGAACAGACATTCCTCTAAAAAAGAAATACAAATTTACAATAAGCACATGAAACAATGTTCAACATCACAAGTCATTAGGGAAATGAAAGTCAAAACCACAATGAGACAATACTTTCTACCCATTAGGATGGTTATTAGCAAACAAAAAAGGTAAAAACAACAGTGAAAAATAATGTGTTGTGAGAATGTGGAGAAAAAAGAAGACGTGTGCATTCCTGGTGGTCATGTAGAACATTGCAGCCCCCTGCGAGAAATGATATGGCAGGTTCTGAAAAAAATTACACAGCGTTCCCATGTGATCCAGGAATTCCACTTCCAGGTATATACCCAAAGGAGTTGAAAGCAAGTACTTGTACACCAATCTTCATAGCATTTGAAACAATAGCCTCAAAGGGAGAAACAGTCTGAATGTCCCTTAATATATGAATGGATAAACAAAATGTGATGTATTTGTATAATGAATATATATTAATATTTTGGAATATTTAACCTTAAAAAAACCCCCAGAATGCTGACAGGTGCTACAACATGGAAGAACCCTGAAAACATTATGCTAAATAAAATAAGCCAGACACAAAAGGGCAAATGTTATATGCTTCCTTTTTTATGAGGTATCTGGAGTAGTCCAACTTACAGAGAAGTACAGCAGAGGTTACCAGGTGCTGGAAGGAGAGAGGAACGGAAGTTATCTTTTAATGGGGACAGAGTTTCCGTTTGGGAAGATGAGGAAGTTCTGGAAAGGGATGGTGGTGATGGCTTCACAACTTTGTGAGTGTACTTAATTCCACAGAATTGTACACTTTAAAATGGTAAATTGTATGTTACGTATATATTCCCCTAATTAAAAAAAGCAAAAAAAGTAAATCCTCACTCTCGGTTATCCTCCTGGGGCACGCTCTGCCAGCCCATCCAGGATGGACCCTTTAACGGCCCTGGTGCCGGGGCCTCAGTGTTTGGCCATGTTGCCTCCCTCTCCTGCCCCAGGTTGGAAGAGGGCAGGTTGCTCTGTCTTGTTCATTGTCATGCTCCAGGATCTGTTGTGTTGTCTGGCTACCAGCAGGCTCAAATGTTTCTAGGATGCACTAACAAGTCTCACAGATGCATAAAGTGATAGAAATCCCAAGTCTTCTGACTCTAAATTGAGTCCTTTTTTTTTTTATTGGGGGAACTCAATATTTTCTAACGACCTCTCTACCAGTACTTCTAGCATTTAAGCCACATTTGAATATAGGTACGGTTGGTAATTTTGTCTCTCCATGAAATAGTTTTAGCTTTAAGTTTTAATGGTGAATTACACTACAACTTTTGAAGGGTTTTTTTTTTGTATACTTGGCATCAATTTTCCCTCATAACCTATAAGATTATTCATAGAAATATTAAGGCCAGCTTTCCCAGGAAAAAAATGAAATTGACAAATCTGTAGCAATACTTCTTATGAATAAACCAGAGATTCCATCACTATTATAATTTTTTTCTGGAAAGTTTCCTCCCTCCTCCTTCTTCTCCTCCTCTCCTCCTCCCTCCCTCCCTCCCCCCCTCCCTCCCTCCCTCCCTCCCTCCCTCCCTTCCTTCCTTCCTTCCTTCCTTCCTTCCTTCCTTCCTTCCTTCCTTCCTTCCTTCCTTCCCTCTCTCCCTCCCTCTCTCCTTTATTTTCTTCCTTCGGACAATCCAGAGAATTTCCAAGTGACAATGTACTCAAAACCTAGGTAAACTCAATACCAAAAACATGGGGATGTTTCCAAATGCATTATTTGTAAACATTTGGTATTTTGGTATTTGAGGAGGTATAAAAGAGAAATAGCTGAGAATCACAAGAATTCTGGTTGCGTTTCAGGAAGGGAGGGGGAGAAGGCCTGAGCGGTGCGGGTATTAGTCGTCTGAATGGGCAAGCTCAGCGCGGTAACCACCTTTGGTGCTATGGCGGGCCTGTGACCAGCAGAGGGCGCTGTTGGTCTGTGTGAAGCCTCCTAGGTTTCCCCAGCACCCTATGATCATTGCCGTTTTATTTTTATTTTTGATCATTGCAGTTTTAAATTCTGGCCATTACTTTTAAAACCCAGCTTTGGTGACCATAACCCTAGTAAAACCTCATGATCTGAGGTGTGGACAATGGTTCAAAGTTTATTGGGAAATACGGTATTGACTTTCTCAGGACAGAAAGAGCTCTTTCTCATTGGCACCAAAGACAGGCACTGAAACTCAAATTAACAGGAAACCTTTCAAGGCAAACAGGCCCATCTATTCTCACAGACCCAACTTCCTGTTTGCTTTGAACACTTGGCTTTGAAATTGGACCTATTTTCTCCAGGTTGTAAAGAAATATGGTACCATGTAAGTCCTGTTTAAGTACAGCTTGTCTTGGAGAAATGTGCTTCCCAGGCTGAATTACCTGAGCGTGCGAGGAGATGACAGCCACGAAAGACAGGGGAGTAATACATTTCTCACTTGACAGCAGGCGAACGGACATCTCCGTAGCTCAGGCAGAACCCTGGGAAATGCTGGGCAGTCATGACTGCCGAAGCCTTCGGGATTCCTGCCAAGGGGCCAGGCGTGCCTGCTCCAGGCCGCAATGACAACTTCATAGGCGACGCGGAGAGTGACAGATCGGCCGATGCTGACGGGTTTACACTGTGTGTGCTCGAAGGCCCCAGTCAGTCCCCACTCTGCGCTTCTGCAGCCGTCCGCAGCTCCAGCGGCTTTGGAAGACGCCTCCACACTTGGCACTGACGGTGTCTCCGTGCGAGCGCAAAGAATGTCTCCCGTCACAGGCAGGTGCTGAGGGCGTTAAATCATTAATTTCCTGCTTTAAAAGGTCAAGTCTCTGATTAACAGTGGGGTAAGAAGAGAAAGCGAGCGTTTACTGAGCAGCCGCAATGTGCCAGGAGCCCCCCCCCGCCCCTCCGCAGCTCGCACAGCCTTGCTGCATCAGGGCCGCCGGCTCCTCTTCCCCATGTGGTAAACGTGAGCCAGTCTAAGGACGCCATCTGAGGTCACAGGGTTAGAGCTAGGATGGGACCCTGGTCTGTCCGCCTCGTTCCTTCCACACAGCGACATGGGGTCCAGTGGGGCGGAAAGAGGTCAAACCTTGCTGTGTGTGCTGCTCAGTCGCCTTCCCGGGAAGGTGCACATTGTCTGTGGGAAACGGAGGTAAGTTGTTTTAGGCAAAAGGGGCCCATGGAAGTGTGTGCACTAGACTCAGAACTCCGTTCTAAGTAACAGGGGTGCAGCCTGAAACCCCAAACTGCTTCCCCGTGGAAGGTGCAGGCCATGCGCACGTGGTCTGAGAGCCACGTAAAGCAGAGCCCAGTGCTTACGCCCCTGGGGCCAACCCCTAAAATCTCTGTGCCCCGTGCAGAGAACTCTGAGGCTTCTGGGAAGAAAATTTTCTCCTAAAGAGGTCATTTGTGGCCTTATTAAAACCTCTTGGAAGGAGTGCATGTTGGGAAAAATAAGAAATCACTGGATCCAGTGAGCTAAATGAGCGGCACTCAGATGTGTCTACGACCAGCTTTCCCACTGTGGACACTGAGGGCTTGCTGGTGACGAGAGCGACAGTGCAGAGGACGATGGTGATGACGGTGGTGAGGCCGAGTGGCTGGCTGGCAGAATGACTGACGCACACACGCGGGGGATGGAAGCAGGTGAGCTCCCAGAGAGGAATGAGGTGAGAACTGAAGAAAGCCGGGCAGGTTTGTGGTGGAGACAGAGTCCGGGGGCAAGACAGCGACAACGAGGAGGCTCGCGATTTGCCCGCTCTCCGCCCCACCCCAGGCCCCCAGGGTGACTGCGGGTTAGCTGTTCACTGTTCCTAAAGGCCTGAGCGCAGACAGAGCTCCGCAGCCGGAGCCCGGCAGTCGTGGAAGGCGCAGCTCACCGAGTCCCTTGCACAGGGAGAAGGTTAGAGCCTTTCCTCTGACACAGCGCAGCCCAAGGCCCAGGAGGACCCGGGACTGGCTCCCAGGGAGCATTGCTGTCTTGGCTCAGCTACTCTCCTCCCTTGGAAAATTCTTCCCCATCTCGCATAGCTGGCAGAGTCCCACTTACTTTTCTAGATTTAGTTGTCAACACTCTTTTCATTCTTTCTCCGGGTAGTCAGACACTGGTCCCCCAGACCTTTTGACAGGTCAGAGCTGAGTTTATTGCGCGCTGCGTTGACAGAGGTCGCACAGGGTCAGGACGGGCGGCAGGGCAGAGCCAGACACCGAGGAGTTTGGTGGCCTCCTCTAGGTGGGCCCCGAATGCTAGAGCTCGATTAGGTCTGGGGAGAGGCCGCGATGTGAGTTTGCAATCGGTGAACACCGGGGAGGCGGGAGTTTCGAGGACAAGATCAGAAGTGACTTGGTTTATAAACAATCATTTTGATGTTATTTATTGAAAAGTGAATCAATTTTAAATGGATTTGCAAAATGTGCAGTTATTTGGAAAATTTACCTTACCGGGCAAGGTTCTTTTAGAAAAGCGGTCACGTTAGTGAGGACAGAGGCAGAGTCAAGTCGTTTGGGGGTGACAGGTGTGGGCACAGGTTTCAGTTCACACCGTTCGTAGAAAATCAGTTTCTCCCGTCGTGGGGAACATGGCGGTGTGTTCGGATTCCATCACGGGCCTCACGGTGGCGGATGCCAAGGTGACGCTCTGCTTGTCCCCACGTGCCAGCCTCTCGCGGTCTGCCTCAGAGCTCCCAGACAGTCAAACATACAAACATTGAAAACGTCCACGCGTGACCCTTGACCCTTCCGGGGTGCAGCTTGTTACTACAAGCTGTGTTACAGTTTGCAGAGAATGTCTTTGGTACGGCGCAATTGCGTTATTTCCCCGGCTTTCCTCCTCCCGCCCGACCTCCTACACTCGGAGAACCTGGGAGAGGAATGTGATCAATTTGCGCACAGGAAGAAATATGAAACTAAACCTTCAACTTGTCTTTAATCATAAGCATGGATATATGCTTCTGTGGGGTGGGTTGGGGGAGGTAAAAATCATCATCAAAAAATGTGATGTAACTTAGATAACCTGGCATGAGATGTTGGCAGCCTGCCTTCTTCTTCTGAATCAGTGCATGAATTTAAAGCCAGGTTACCTTTGTAGCTACAGTATAATGGTGCCTTCATTTTCTTGCTTAATCTTCCAGAGTCAATCAGAATTCAGCATCTGAGCTTTGCCACAGTAATTGCCCGGGAAGGAACTCGGCCAAACTAATACAGGTCAGTCACTTCGTGAGTTTTCTACCGGGCTCAGAGCAGTGCCAGAAAGAAGGCTCCGCTCGGACCCAGAGCCCCTGCTTCGTTTTCCATTGCTGTGTTTGGACAGCACTGGGGAAGCATCTTCCGCTGCTTCTCACCTACCCACAACTCCACGGAGCAGCGTGGCCTGCAGTTTTTCCACTAGAGCCGTCAGTGAGAGGATACGTGAAGGTGAGGAGCAGCGAGCTGAGATGACAGGGTTACAGTAGTGCCAGATAATAAGGATGCCAATAATGCACCGCGATAGATTCGCATTTGCATAACAGCCCTGCCAATAAAGCTCTTCTTATTCTCACTGAAAAAATTGAGAGGCAACAATCAATTCACTATTCCTGCCAGTTACTTGTCTGGGTCTCTTCTCCCCACAGGGGATTTGGTTGACCCAACAGCAGGGGCATCTTTCCGGGGTGCAGAGTCATGAGCAAGGGAAGAAGGACACAGGGGCTGCAGGCCACACAGCCCGTTGCTGGTCGGAGGGGCAGCTCTAGTCTGAAGACAATGTCCACTGAGCAAAAGGGTGACCCTCGGACTTAGCAGGAGGCAGTGAAAATTCAGAAAAGGGCAAGGAGAGGTGGGCAGTCCTGAGTTCGAAGTGAAAATAATAACTAATAGTTCCTGAGCCCTCAAATCATTTGTCCCACAACCGGACATCACAGAGCGTTGAAAGGGAAGGGATAAGGCCTCCGCGACAGCCTCACCGAACTTTAGGAGGCAAAAAACAAGTCCCATTGATGCCACAGGATATTCTTTTGGTAAAGTTTAGAAACAACTAAAATGAAACAGATCGTTGACAGAGTATATAGTTTGTAAGAAAAATAGATTTTCATATGAAAAGAAGCCGAGAAGTGACCCCTGCATCGTTTGGGATGATGGTTACCGAGACAGGGAGGAGGCGGCGTCCACAGGGTCTCGTGGGCTGACGGGTTACTGGAAGTTCGTGACATTATTATACACAAAAAGGGCACGAAATAAAAGATACCACTGCTCAGACAAATGAGGGGAGTGAGTCACGGACCAAGGACAATCACTTGGGTTTCCAACCCTGAAACCCGAGGCGACATGCCACACTGCGCACGTGCACACGGACCCCCGCCCGAGGGCGCACAGTGGACCCTGGGCCACCGCAGGTCAGCGCTGGGCGCTCACCGTGGGCAGACGCGGGGCTCAGCGTTTTGCACGTTATCGTGTTTGATCCTATGACCACTTTATGAAGTAAATAATGTCATAAACCTCATTTTACACGAGGGTTAAAGGGAAACAGCAAAAGCTTCCCCTAAATATGCAACTTAGTATATTGATTATTTTGAATTAAAGTTATTTAAGAAACAGCCACTGCGAGGAAGACACTCTGACCCTTCTTCGTTCCCTGAAAGCAGGAAATAAATTTCTCCTGGGAAAGGTGCCCTCCCTGTGCCAGGAGATAAAGGGGGGGGGGGGAACGCCCTGATCACCAGAGATGGAGGACTCAGAGCTGAGAAGGCTGTGCGAGCAACCTGGTCACTTCTCACTGATCTGCTACTCCAAACCCAAACCCCTTGTCTTGTCAGTTCTTCACACATTGATTTTTTTTTTTTTTGGTCTTAAGGGCAAAAAAGCTGCCTATTTTGGTCACGTTTTTGAGTCTCATTTTTCTATGGGCTCCTGTACATACAGAATTGTATCTGTTTCTCTGCTGTTCACCAAGCCAGCCTGAGAACCTAGAGGGGAGGAAGGGAAACGTTCCATTCCCTGTCGGGGTATTGGGCGCAGAGACGTCAAATGGCTTGCCCAAGGTCATGCAAAGATCAGATGGTAAAGCCAGGATTCGAATCGAGCCCAGCAGCCATGCTCTATCTGCCAAGCATTTGAGCTCAGTTTCTGCTTGCGCCTTCCCTCTTCCTGGAGCCCCTCCCTTCCGTTAGTGCTTGCTGCCCCAGGACCCAGTATGTCACCCAGCACTGGTCAGTCGGCACGTACACATGCCCAGCATCTCCGCTGGGGCCATGCCTCCAGCCTGTGTTCCGTGCCTGGCGGAGTTGTGACGGGCAGTCTTTGCACACCAGTGACCACTGGTCAACTGGGCGTGAGCACCCTGCTGATGGGAGGTCTGGTTGTGTCCGGTTGCTGTTGTACGAAGCTGTCTGAGGTCAAGAGCTTGGCCAAGGAGTGGGAAGTGCTGAGCTAACCACACCTCACCTTCTAGAGCTCAGATTGTGGAGTACAGGGAACACTGGCCCACTGATAGAGGATGCGGAACATGCAGGAAGAAGACAGCCGCCGTGAGAAAATTGGCGGGCCCTGGGACACTCCAAGGGGGGTGAAGCCCTCTGCACGGGGACATGGGACAAATTGTAACCTGTGCTTCTTAGATGTGTGTGCATCCTGGTCTCGCCCAGTATATTAGTCGTCCTGGGAGCACAGCAGAAGGCCGTGTAGGAATAATTATGGATGAGATATAGTAAATTCCCTTTTTTTTACAGTGTGCCCCCAAATGGTTGTGAGTGCACTTGCTTTTCTCATATGGGAGATTTCCTCTTAGCGGCCCTTTCCTGGGACCCGACTTAGAGGACAGCAGCGGGGCCTCGGGAGAGCCCAAGGAAGAAACCAGCCCGAGGAATAAAATGAAGTTGAAAACCTCCTTTGACATTTAAGAAAAGTCAACAACCATCTAAGTGATGAAAGAGACCAGAAATATAACAGGCTGGATGTCAATTTTAAAACCAGAAAGATAGCTGCTACTTTATCTCGCTGAGCAGGTGTTTCTGAGCAGTAAATAACTCACGGATGGGCTATTAAGCTTTAGTGCTTGTGATAACAGCAAGGAGTGTGTTGCCACCCTCCTAAAAGTACATAGATATAAAAACAAACAGCAGTTTTCAGTATTCGTGCTTTGCACCATTTTCTTTTCACCGTCGTTTTGCCGCATTATCTTGCGCTATTATCTTGACCACAAGCCCCTGCTGCATGAAGCTGATTTGCGATCGTGGGCAGAACAACCTAATGTAATTAAGTATCTGGCAAGTGTACAACGATTATTACTACATAAAAAAAGATTATCTCCTCGAATGAACACCCTCCAAACAAGGCACTGATTTCACTGCTTGTAAAACAGGGGACCAGGTTTTAATTTTTTTAAGGAGGGGGAAGCATGTTTCCTTCTGCTTTTTAAATTTTGTTCAAACTCACTTTTGTGAGGTTTTTATTGAAATAGTGATTATGGTGCTTCAAAGACTTTAAAAAATATCCAGAAGGAAAAAAAAAAACATGAAGCAATGTAATTGGAAAAAGGTTAGATACGAAGAGACGTGCAATTTGAATCAGCCAGATGAGCGTTATTACCTAATAATGAGGCTTTGCACTCCTATTACACTGGCTTTTGTATCAGAGCCTTTACAGACCAGCAGCTAATGAAGTCTCCTGCCTCCCCTGTGACTGAGGTCGCTGCTGTTGCTGTCTGATGAATGGAGAAAATAAGCCGCCGAGACCAGGTGAACTTGGCTTCTCCTCAGTTCAAACGGTTAATGTCACGGCTGGGAATGAAACTTAGAAACTTCAACTCCCAGGCTCTCCGGCTTCTTTGTTTCCTGTTGCTGGAATGCCCGGGCTCTCCATTCCTTGTCCCGTACCTCGAGGTTGCCACGTAGGGAGGTGGTGAGACACAGTGGTGCCGGAGTTGGGAGCTGGAAGTTTGCAGCTGAGACTAACTGCTCTGTGGAAGTGAGAGGGAGGGAAGGAGCATGGCACAGCTGCTTGCAGGAGCCAACTCCAAACATTAGGACCTCGCCAGCTGCTCGTTAAGTCTGAGGTAGCTTGAAATCAATCATAACGGGAGTGTAGCAGGCCCTAAGATAACGTGGTTTTGTATAAATGTTTATGAGAAATCAAAGTTGATTCCTGGCCGGGGCCGCTGAGTGGAGTTTGCACGTTCTCCCCTGCTCTGTGTGAGTCTCCTCCAAGGGCTCCAGTTTTGCCCCCACGTCTCAGACACATGCCGGTGAGGTGAGTGGGTGTGTCTCACTCAACTGTCCCTGTTGGAGTGGGTGTAGGCTCGGGCCTGAGTGCCACCTGTGACTGAACTGTGTCCCGTCCAAGATGGGACCTGCCTCTTGCCCTGAGCTGCCTGCCACCTGAGACCCTGAACTGGAATAAGTGGTTTGGGAAGAATTATCTGACTTGTTTCTATTCATCTTTCTTAAATGCATATATAGCTCACACTAATTTCTTTTTAAATTATATTTTATTGATTGCATTATTACAGTTGTCCTGCTTTCCCCGCTCTCGCTCCCCTGCACCCAGCACCCACCGCTCCCTCAGACACATTAATTTCAATGTTTAACATTCAAAGTTTTTTGAGTCTTTATTTAGAAGTTTAGTTATGTTTTTGTGACCAGAAATGTGCCACTGGAGACTAACTTTTTACATCAGTTCGCCTACAGTAAAACTGGTTTTCTTGTGTGACCCGACCCGATGGTCACATCAAAGTGCGGTTTCTAAGAACCCATCCCTGCTGTTCACTGAGGACTTGCCGAGGCCACACCCTGAAAACAGCGAACACAAAGATCAGGGTTCCCTCACCCCCGAGCCAGTGCCCCCGAGCACCAGGGAGAGCGAGCGAAGAGCGGTGTGTGTCCCAGGGGGTCCCACAAGTCCTTTACAACTGTTTTGTATCCTGCATGAAAAGTAGTGTCTATAGCCATAAATCAGAAGGTGATACTGAAGTGAAGGCAGGAGAAACTCCTGGGAGTACAGTGAACGCAAGTTTGTGCGGTGTCCATTAAATCGGAGGTTTGGGCCGGCGATTCTGCCACCGGGGGCAAGTGGGTCACAGAAAACGGGGAGTCCTCTCACCGTCCTTCCCTGGGCGCCTCACCTTTATTTCTGGGTCCTCTGCCACCTCTTTCCATCCCCACCGTTTATTCGTGAATCTATTGAGTAAATTAGTGTTAATTCCTCCCTGAAGAAGTATTTTTATTTTAAATGGGAATGCAGGAAGAAGAGGCCAAAGCCAGTTAAGTATTATTATTGTATCTATTTTACAGAAAAGGATACAGGTTCAGAGAGTTTACTGGGAAGTGTTTCTGTTTTGGACAGAGTGTGCTCAACTAATATTTGGACAGTAACCTTTCCATGGACATGAAGGTGTGAAGAAGGCCATTCTGGGGTCCGCTTGCCTTCAGATGCCGTAGAGGAATCCACACTGAGTTAGGAGTCAGAGGACCTGGATTCCAGAATTCTTCTCTGCGCTTGTTTTATCTCCTGGAGGCTTGGTTTTCTCATGCAAATGAGGGTAATGTCATCTTTGTTTTCTTTATTTGTTTTGCTGGGAACTGAAGAGATAGTGTATGGGAAAGCATTTTGGTTAATGCGGATGCAGAACCAATTGCGTTTTCTATTTGACTCATGCCCGAATCCCCTTTTTCCCCACCATCTCCTTTCCCCCTGTGGTCTCCATCAACCTGGGAGATTAATTTCTACATCAGAGATGGTGGTTTTTACAGCTACTTCCTTAAAACTTGCTGAGATCCTTGAACTGACAAGGGGTGTTTTGTAACAGTGCTGAGTTATCATACCCACGTCCAAATTTATGTCTGATCCCTGCAAAAGGTGCCTCGGCTCCTCAGAGCAGGCACCGGCCCATTATTCTTGCAGCTCTCCAGGCGTATAATGCACACACACCTAGACATGCAGGACACTCATTTAAACTGAGATTGGAAATGGGGGGATAGACAAGACCAGCCATATGGCAGCGACTCAAGCAGCACCAATAGCAAAATTGCGCGTCATCACTGGCTCCGCTGCTCTGTGCTTGCCGCAGAGAGAAAGGTCACCTCAGCAGCTCCAGGCTCACGCTGCCCTGTCTCCCCAACCCCTTGCTGTTCCACCCACACACTCAGAGCTTCTCAGGCCCATGTGCCTCCTCTCTCAAATCAGTCTCCGAGTCTAGCGGTCCCCTCAGCCAAGGAGGAAAGCCAGCCCTCCTCCCCTGTAAGGGTCATTCTGCCACCTCAGTCTTCGCCTGCCCACTCTAAAGGAATGTGCCCCTCTCTCCCCACCCACTGGGCAGGACGATTCAGCAGGGGAAGGGGCAGCCTGCAGTGGCAGGGGCCGGTTCAGAAAGCACAGCAGGCCTTACACTGGTGACAAACGCTGCCCTTGGGTTTGAGCAGTGGCTTTGCTTCAAATTTGAGAAGAGAGTCCCATTTAAACAATTCACGACTAGGCTTCGCTCTATTCCAAGTCTGGAGCAAAGAGGGGTGTGTTTATTAAGTTAAATATATTGAGTGTTTATTAAGTGCCAGGAACTCTCCTGAGTGATTTAAAAGCATTATTTTCTTTAATCCTTCTGTGAGGTAATTACTAATATGATTTCCATTTCATAGGGGAGGAACGTAAAACATGGAGAGGTTAAGAAACTTGCGCAAGGGTATATCCTTAGTGAAACTGAAGGACTGGGATTTGAACTCTGGATGTCTGGATCAAGAATCTATCTTCTAAAACACTCCTTTACTTCTTCCAAAAGCGATTTTATACTTCATTTTCTGTCTGAATTGTAATTACAGGGTGGACTGTGGTAGAATTCTAAGAAGGCCCCATGAGGTCCCCCCGCAGGTGCTCATCTCCTCTCTGTAAGCGTGGGCGGGACCTGGGACTTGCTTCTAGCCAACAGAATACAGCGAAGGTGCCGGGCTGTCCATCAGTCCTGTGATGCCGTTATTTGTAAGCCTGGTCTTCGCAGACCAGAGTGAGAGAGATTCTGTTGCCAGCCTGAGGAAGTGCACAGCCATGCACTGGCTATGGAGAGGGCCGCATGGCAGGGACCTGCTGGGGGCCCCTGGGACACCCTGACTGCAGCCTCCCGAGAGCCTCAGCCAGGGCCCCGTCCGGCCACGCTGGGCTTCCTAACCCACAGAGACGGTAAGATGGTAGGTGTGCGTTGTCTAAAGCTGTGGTAATTTGTTGTGCTGCTGTGAAAACTAACGCAGGCGGAGAAGTTTGCCCAGGGTCACATCTTTAGTAAAGTTAGACAGCTGGGGTTGAACCCAGTCCTCTGGCACAACAGCCACAGTCTTAGTCTCTTCTCCATTCTGCCTCCTTCAACGGTGTTTTTATAGGTGGTTTTCTGTTCAATATTGTAATGATTTCTTCAGGTTTCTAAGCTTTAGGAACTCATAGGTTATAACGCCCTTGACAGAACAGGCCTTAGAACAGGCTTTTGATAGAAGTCATAAAGATTTTCAATATAGGGAAATGTAGAATGGAAGAAGGATATTCAATGAACTTAGCTGTGGAAGCAAAGTAAAGAGACTAACTGTGAAAGAAAAATGACCAGGGTAAAGGGCTATTTCTGCCCTCACATATAATGGCAGACTCCTTGTGAAGACTGATCTCATGGTCCTCGTCCTTGAGTCCAGTCGGGATCAGTGACGTAGTTTTCAGGGCCCAATGCCAAATTAAAAGGCAGGGCCCCTTGTTCAAAAGGTGGTGACCCCATGGCCCCTCTGAGCATGGGACCCCCACCCAGGAAGCCAGCCCCGGGCCCAGTTCACATGAATTCTGGGCAATATTGGGGCTTGTGGTGTTATTATTACCACATCTACTCTTCTTGTGATAAGTCTTTTTTCTCTCTGTGCTTCTTACCTACATATTCAAAAATGCTTTCAGCTGATACTTAGGCTCTACCATATGTTACCCATCCTATCCCTTTGGCCCTTGGCTACACGGGGATGTTTAATTTGTGAGGTAGGGAAGGCTCTTGTCTCCTTATTTTACAGATCAGAGAATTGAATAGCAAAAATGATCAAAGTCACACAGGAAATGTGGTTCTCTCATCTCTACATCTCCTTCAAGATAAACTATAGGGACAATCAGATACATTCTGCAATAGAAATCATCATTTCATTTTGTTTTGTTTGTGTTTTAACAACAAGTATTTATTGGCGGATTGGAGAATATGGCTTAAACAGCACAAGAAGGGGCAACTGTGGATTGGCATATTCCTGCTGGTCTCATTTGTTATCGATTCACCTGCTCACACCCAGGCTGCCTTCAGTTTTCTTTAGTTCCTTCTAATTCTTCGCTCCACAATCAGCATACTCTATGCTCCTAGCTCTTCTCCTGTTTTCAACCCTATTTGGACAAGTATTTGATGTCTTCACATATTGCATAATTACAGTCATTGTGTGGTGAAGTCCATTTCTGAAGTTTTAAATTATTAGAATAATTTAAGCCAAGCTATTTCTCTCTGGAAGAGGAAAATCGAGGTACTGCAGTTTTTAGGATAACATGGCAATTTCCGGCAGGTCCACAGCCAGGACTTAGGGCTTCTAATTGTTCAGCCTCTGCTCTTTTGCACACCGAGCAACCCCTTTCTCCACTGAGTCATGTATTATATGCTGCTAGCTGTGACCTCAGATAGTTTTTCTTCCATAGTTGCCCTTGGTCCTAAGATATATCATCTTTCCCCAGTTGTGCCCAATGGACTTCAAAGGCCATCGTTATACCCGAGTCTTACTTCTTGGATTCATCTTCTTTCTCTTTCCTTTGTCAGCTTTTTCTTTTTATGGGCGTGGGTATTCAGTAGTGTTGGTGCATGCTAACTAGTTCCAGTTCATTTATCCCTTCTCAACGTTTTATCTTTATTGATATTCAACCATTAATATTACAAAAATTCTTGCCTGAACACTTTCTAAGTATTTAAGACTCAGCATCTTTAAAATATCATTAAAAAGCCCTCCTTTCCTCCCATTCCATCCAACCTCTTCTGGCCTCTGCTTCATAGTGAACCTCTATCCTCAGTTGCTGAGCACTAATGATAATCTCTATTCTAGAATCTGTCTTATTGTCCCTACAGTTTACCTCGAAAGCACCCTCCTTCATGGTAGGCTTCTAAAAGATGAGACACCAGTTCACCATGGGTTAGAAATGACTCTTAATATAAATTAAAATTAGGTCTGCAAATGCCCAGGCTATCTCCATTTTGTTCTCTTCTTTCCCTCAGATAGAAGCTTTGAATGAGAAAGAAACTATGAAAGAAATATGAGATCAGGAAACTATATTTGATTTATTGGTATTTGATGCACAAATGATTACAACCTGTAGATGGAAGGAATGTCATCTTGTGAAAGGGACACATTTCTGTCACTGCTCTCTCACTCCTAGCTGAGCTCTGGCACTTTGAGGGACTTAGCCCCCCAAATGTATCATTTTGTAAGGTTTAATAATATCCCAAGGTAGATCTGCTAGGTCATATGAATAGCTGTCCCTGGTCAAGCCTGGTACTGTTTACCTGTGATGAGGCTTTGTACCCTGGGAAAGGGAGAGGGGAGGAGAAACTTCCGGAGCTGCCATCTACCTGATACCTGAAAGAGTAAGTTTTAGGAATCAGAGAAAAAGTTGAAATCAAGGGCCAATGGTCATTGAAACACCATACTGACTGCCAGAGACTTGCATGTGGAAGCATATTAATGACAAATGAGACCAGCAGGATGTGTCATTTGCTGGATGGTGTCAGAAAGCTGTTCAGAGGTACCTAATAGACACTATGCAAACCTCGGTTGGTGGTGTCTCTAAACTGTCTTGTCTTTAGTTTCCCTATCATTTTATATAATCTAAGTTCTTAACTCACTCTTCCTTTTTTTTTTCCTTTAATTTTCTACCCTACTTCTTTTATTCCTTCTGCATGAACCTCATCCAGTAAGTCAGTGAAGTGCAGTTAGGCACATCTGTGCTGAAACCTAATTGGCCAGAATGCTGATGTGTCCACAGCTTTACTCAGTTGGGACAAAACAGGCCAGAGGTTGATTCTATACATTTGCATAAGTTGTGGGGTGTGTGTGGTGTGTGTGCATGTGTGTGTGTTGCAGGATTGGCTGCAAGCCTTTGATAACAAATAGAATAATACTGTTTATATTCACATGGGGAAAGACTTGACGATCAGAAATGAGTTCTTCACAGCATAATTACAGCTTGCTCTGGTGAACAATGAAGATACAATCAGTGCACCTATTTGTCCTTCTGGATTCCAGCTGCTAAAGCAATTTCTTTTTCACAGAACTTACGATTTTGCGGTTCTTGTGAAAATCCACCGTTTCTCTCCTGAAATCCTGTGAGATGGAGCTCGCCAGAGGAAATGCTGTGAAAACAGCCTCGTTCCTGCATCTCTGTGAAATTAGGCAGATCATATTTCCAGTGCTGCTATCCTGATTGCATGTTTGTTTAAAATGACAGTTGATGTTGTGTATCTCTTTCATTAGGGAGGCTCAACGATCTTGACATTATTAACTAACTGCAGCACTTGCTGCACATAAACACTAATCCACAGAGACATCTCAGATGGTACTTGAAGAAAAATAAGGCTCTTGGAACGTGAGACACCAACAGAAGGATCTTGGCCATATTTGCAATTTGGCAGGTGTATTATTAGCCATTCATAAGTAAAAGCCATTTTCTATGCAGCCTAAACACCAAGATTCAGAGGGCAAACATCCACATCTGGGTTCAAACACTTAAAGTGGCTGAATCAAGTGGAGGGGAAACTGGGGACTTGCAGAGGAGAGAGGGCTGGTTGGTTTTCTCGTCTCTTGTTCTCTGAGCCCTGGCTGCATAAATACCTGATGCTGGAAAATGAATCACACGCAGACAGAAACGATCGCATGTTTTGTAGACATTTTGAATTGTATAGCACACTGAATACTTGATTCTAAATGATCAGAATTTGGTGGGCTGGTGGACCTGGACAGAATTTTGGTGTTTAGGATTCTCGTCAGGTGTTTACTTTAGAGTCTATGTAGCCTGTTGCCCCCTGGAGATTTGTCCCCTTTGATACTTCTGGCACCCTCCATGAGAGGCCTTTGTGATGGTGCAAAGTGGTGACGCTCACTTCTCCTCATCAGACTCATTGTGGTGCTCCCTTCTGGACTGAGTGCTTGCCTCCTCGTGTCCTTGCCTTGCTGCCTGGGAGGATATCCCCACAAGGCCTTTGCTCCTGCCCAGTTCCTGCCTTGTCATCTCCCTGCTCAGCTGTTACCTAGCCCATCCTGTTCAGTTCCTGGCCTTGGTCTGGGGACAGGTCTACACACCGCATCTCCCTATCTTCCTAGCCCCCAACTCTGGCCACCTGTCCTCTTCTAGGGCTTCCCAGAGAAGCTCACAAGCATGCTGCAGTCTTCAATACTTGATCCAGAATTAACCTCTGACCTTTTGTAGTCCATGGTGGTTCCATGCAGGTCTGTTTCTGATAAAGACATTGGACTCTCAGTCCCATTCCTATGTCTGGAATGGTGCCAATGGTAGGACAATAATGATTCTTGTTGGAAGACAGGATTTGGGTAAAGGAGTAAAGTTATGTTTAGGTTTATCTAAACAGGGGAATAATTTTGGAATCTTAAAATTATTGCTTTCACCCTCCTTACTCTTCTTTTCCTCTTCCCCAGAGAAGTCATTAATTTACCTTGTTAATACTTCAGAAGGGGAAATGGGAGGGTGGGGAGGATGTTCTTGCCCAGATAAGGGCTCTTGAAACCACTGAACACCATGTGGGGCAGTAGAGAGTCTATTGTAGATGAATAAACTCTATAATTGCCTTGACCACCTTTGGTGGTTTGAATGCACACTTCACTAAACTCTCAAAATGCTAGTTCAAAGCCAGCATGAGACTAAGAAAGCTCAGTTTTAGAGAACTTGCATTATATTATTAGTTCATCCTGGAAATAGTAATACTCATATCCATAGAGAAGAATTTTCTTTTTTTGGTTTGCCCAGGACAATTCCAATTTACACCCAAAGTCCTGAGATAATTATTCATAGCACCTCCTTTTACTTTCAGAAATATCCTGACCTAGATAAGTTATGTGGTCTTCTTACCCGTAGGTTCCTTGGTGCCTTTAATGGCCTTAAACCCCACATGAGCCCAGTCATGGGAGTGACAGGTAAGAGCAACAGTCAAAACTTAAGGTAAATGATTTTTATGTCCAAATTAAGAACGAGCTGGAAAGTAAGTTTGGAAAGAGAAAAAGTTAAAAAAAAAACAAGAATATATAACCAAACCAAATACTAGAGTTAGAGAAGAAGTGACACAAACTAGGAGGTTCCAAGTAAGTACAACTTGGGAATCCCCCAGAGATGAGAGTGAGGAAGGAAAGAGCCCTTCATGGCCGCTGCTCTTGGCTGGAAAGAGAGTGATCTTTGCCTCTAGGGGTTTGGGACCTTGAAGTGTTTATTAATCAGGATCCTTTGATCTTTCTTCCTAGACCCTTGTCCCTTCTGTTCTCTCAAGGGTCTGTATGGGTAAAGAGTCAACCAGGCCCCTCTTCAGTGAAAGCGATGACATGTTCTTCTTGTTTTCCAAAGTACTCTTGTGGGAACTGTCAATTTCTTGAACAAGAGAGTCAGACTGGTGTTTGATCAGACAGGGGAAACCCACCATCTGTCATCAGCCCTTTGTCCTTCTGGAAAATTACTGAACTGCAGTACATCAAAACTATACACAAAAATCAATTGCCTGAGATTCCAGCTCTGACCACAAAGTCAATGAGAATGACAAGGATAAATTTGTTTTTCCCTTAAATGCTTTTAGAACACAAATGGAATGGAACTCAAATTATGGAGGTATGTCTAGAGGGGCATCTGAAGATTCAGGATAAAGAAGAAATGAGAGAATCCAAAGAAGAAGGTATGGTCAAGGAAAGGAAAAGAAATAGATGTAATAGAAATTAACAATAATAACAACAACAACAAAAGCCTACGAACTCTCCTTCCCTGAAATATTATATAAGCAACTTTTTTAAGAGAGAGAGAGAAACATTGATTTGTTGTTTCACCTATTTATGCATTCATTGGCTGCTTCTTGTATGTGCCATGACAGGATCAAACCCACAACCCTGGCATATTCGGATGATGCTCTAACCAACTGAGCTGCTCCCTGGCCGGGGCCTTCACCTGTAACTCAAGGATAGAACAGAATAAGGAGGCAATGGCTAATAGCTCTGTTATACTTGCCAGAAGGTCGTAAATAAGCAGATTAAAGTCCTACAGGACAAAGTGCAAAAGCAGCACATTTTGGCAAGGTAATAATGATGATGTTAATGTTAAAAATAGTAATAGTACCTAATTCTTATTAAGCTCTTAAGATGTGTCTGGTATTTTTTAAATGCATTGTGTTTATTTATTCACTTAATTTTAACAACTATTCTCTGGCATAGATCCTATTATTATTTTTATTTAAAAATGAGGAAACAGGCACAGAATGGCTAAGTTAATTGTGTAAGTCAGGTAAGGTATGAATGGAAGATCTAAGATTTAGGACAATTGATTGGGAATGGAGATGAATGGAAGTTTCTTATTACATCCAAGATCCAAAACATGAAGTGAGGAACATTGTAAAAATTTTCCAGAGGCTGAATATAGAAAAAAGGCACCTCAATCACATATGTATATTCAGGAAAGAAACCAAAATCCATAAAAGTGAGTGAAGAGAATGGTTACCAGATATGTCCTTTAGGTAGGTTTATAATTAATTCAATCTATTCCCTTAATATTCATTATATAGGCCGGGGCAAAAGTAGGTTTACAGTTGTGAGTCTGCAAGCGCGGTTTATTCTCGTATTATTATTTATTAATTTTTGTATTATTTTTAGTACAAACAACTGTAAACCTACTTTAGCCCCACCCTGTACATATGATAACTGAACTTGTTACATTATAATTGTAACATTTTTATAAGCATGCTTGCTTGATTATTCAGCATGGGCCTTGCAGATGCAAAGGATAGGTCAGACAATAATATTTTATGAAGATAATTATCTGGAGAAATTTGTGAAAGACAACATAAAGGACAGGAACTCCTGGAGAAGGATGTGTGTCTCACAGGAAGAAGGGCATTCATCCAAGCTCTGACTGCAGAGTGAGCCCGAGGCACCAAATTATAGGAACATTATTTGAAGTTAAGCTGATCACTCTTTTTCCTAATTTTTTACACTCTTAGCATATTACTAGTGAAACAATTCTAAAGTATCTCTTTTCTCAAGAATCTTATAATCTACCTGGGGAAACTAGATTTGTATAAAATGTATGTGGTAATATTCAGTTCAGGTAGACTACAGATTTTGTGAAGTCAAGGACTGTATTATCTCAAGTTAAAGGGAATCCAACTAAAGGTGGTTTGACTGAGAAGATTTTGATGAACTCCCAGAGTAGAGTACGGCTACAGTGTGGCCACGTTGATTAATTTGCTGCTTTAAAGGCATGTCTGAGCTTCAGAATCCACTTTTCTATGATTTTCTGGGTTTTCCCCTCCTGACTGCAAGATGGCTGCTGCAATTCCAGGAATCACAGACAATTAGGGTGCAGAGTCCAAAAAGAAAATATTTGCATTTTTGTTTCTTTTTTAAGAATGTGAGACCTTCCAAAAATTTTCTCAACATTTCTGACCTTCATCAATCACAGACTGAAGTTGACTCAAATGCCCAGAATTAACCCATAACTTGGCAAAGCAGTATGAAGTTGCCGGGACTGGCTTAGACCAGCAGGCCTCAAACTGTGGCTGGTGGACAGGCAAGGCTCTCCAGAACCCTTTCAGAGGGTTAGCAAAATCAAACTATTTTTGTAATAGTACTAAAGTACTATTGGTCTTTTAAACTGTGCAGGCTCCTGCAGTTCCAGCGCAGAGGGATGGTGGGTGAAAACGCGAGCGCCTCAGCGTGAACTAAAGGGAAGACTCCGGTTGCACAGGAGCTGCTGTGCTCTCCACTGCCATGAGCTCGTTGTGAAGAAAAATGCCAGTTTCCCTTAAAAATGTCCTGATGAAGCAGTCAAAATGACTAATTTCATTAAATCTCAGCCCTTAAATACTTCCTAGAGATACGCCGTGCAACACGGTGGGACATGCACATGAAGAACGCCTGCTGCGCTCTGAAGTCGTCCGCAGGCGTCAACAGAGGTGGCCAACTGAGCAGAAACCCGGAGAATCACAGAAGGGCGTCTTTGAGGGAGAGAACGACAGGCTGTGGTTTTTCGGGTTGGCAGACTCGGCAGAAATGTTCCCTCAAATGAAACGTCACTTCAAAAAACAACAACAAACTGGCAGTGTTTGTTGCCAGTGATAAAATGAAAATTAGAATTTTGTAAAAGCCTGTATCTGCTACTATCAGCTTGACAGTTTCCCAATACATAAAGACATTGGTGATGAAATTAGAGGTGTCCTAACAAAGGCTTGTTTTTTTAAAAAATATTCTAGGGTAAAATAAGTCAACATTCAAAAGGTCTGCATGATTTAATGAACCAGAATTTTCCAAGTGAGCAAAGCATGTTGTTATAAAACTCTACATGGGTAAATGACCCACTCAAAGAACAAGATGAATCAATGGATTTTAGTGCAATAAAACTTGGTTTAGGTCCCAATAAACTTGGCTTAGGATTCTACATTGCAACTAAGCTTGAAGAAACCACCACTTACAGGTTTTAGAATAGCAAAGAAGAATATCCACAATCATCTGAAGAGGAAATATGCCTCTCTCTTTGAAATTATATACCCGTGTAATTAAAAGCTAAATTTCCTCCATGTACTTGAACCAAAACAAATATGACAACAGATTGAGTGTAGAAGCAGACACAGAAATGCAGCTGTCTTCTATTAAGCCATACATTAAAGACATTTACAAAAGTGTAAACCAATGCCACTTGTCTCACCAAGTTGTTTTGGAACGTGGAGTTTTTTTTCTTCATTAAAAGTATGTTATTTATGTTAGTGTAAACTGATTTATTATTGCTCTCTTAGAACACACTTATAAACAAATATTTAAAAGTTTCTCAATTTAAAATTCTATTATAGTAAATAGATATAATCCACATAAACAAACCCTTCTGAGGTCCTCAATTACGCTGACGAGTGTAAACAGATCCTGAGACCAAAAAGTTTGGGAAATGCTGGTTTAAAGAAACGGAATTCATCTCTGGGTTTGGAAGAGACCCAGTCTGCATGGACGCACATGGCTACTGGAGTCCTGCACTGGTTAGAAATCCTATTAGGAAGGAAAAGATGGAGGCCGGGTGGTCTCCCAGTGTTTGCCACAGGTATCGTCAGGTGAGAAATGGAAAGAGGAAGTATCAGTGACTCAAGGAGAGAAGACCGAGGCTCAAGGGAGGAGACGAGGCCTGTAGATAATTCCTCCTCCCCACCCTCTTCAACCCTCTTTTATTTTAGAAAAAAAAGATTCAAACAGTGTATCAGGCAAGGAGGTGATGCCATGGGGCGGGATGGGTGGAAACAAAGTACAGAAAAAGTGAGTAGGAAATACTGCCCCAATCATTTTGTTGTAACCTAATTTATTAACATTGAATAGTTTCCCTTTTTTCCCCTGGATTTATAGGTACGTGCACAGATATACACGCACAATTTTGAAATATGTGTATCTATTTCATAAAAGCAGCTTTCCAGGGGTCTTAGAACATGTATCCTACAGCCAAAAATACCCTATACTGTACATAAATGTTTAAGAAAAACCTCAGAGGAAAAGTGTTGCTTTGTTTTAATATTGTGTTTTTATTTTTAGAAGGGAGGTTCTGCTGAAAAGGGGAAGGGGAGAAAAGAAAGATTAAATTGTGTTCTGTATTATGAAGCCAGATATAGACAAAGATAAAACTATTAGAATTTTTTTTTAAAGACATGAACCCTCTGATTGGGCAACTACAGATCTTATCGTGGAGTGGACAGGATAGGGTTTGGCTGAAGTGAGTCTGAGTTTCCACATTAACAGCAATAAATAAGCAAAGCGATGACTGAAACTACATGAAGACACTACAGATTCTTGAAGCTCTTTCCTGATACTGCCACCTCTGACTCCTTGTCATCTGCTGTGCCTGCTTTAACCTCCCCACTGTGTAAGTGGTTTGACTCCTCTGTATCCTGGACTAGACCACGAACTAATAGCAA